GTATCTAAGAAATGAGAAGAGGATAAAAGAGAACAAAAAAAAGGAAGGAAGGAGGAAGATACAAAGAATAATTAACAAACAAAAACATGTGAGGGGTGGGCCCTCGTACGCAGGCTCTGCCAGGGCACAGACCGGAATGAAGCCCACGCAAGTCAAGAAGGTGGGTGGAGGCAGGGGAATGGCCTCTCCCTTGTTCACCAAGAGGGCATGGGGCACAAGAGTAATACCCCTGTCAGTCTCCAATGTGGTTGCCTGTGCTGTCCTTGGTTGGCGGATCTCATTCCCAGGTTGCAGTCCAAGCAAGGCTACCACCTCGTACACACTCAAAATGTCAGCGCCGGCCACTTGGAAACATCCAACTGTGCCCTCTGGACAGCTGCTGGCAATCTACAGGTCCATCTGTCTCCATTCTTACTGTTCTCCTTTCTGGTCGTCAGGCACTATGCAGTCCTTGCCCATCCAACCTTCAGAGCAGAGCCGATTCTTAGGTTGCTATTGGGAAGTATTCAGAATGGCTGTGCCCTTAGGATAGCCAGCACTCTACTGCTCTGTTTATCTCTTTGGTCAATATTTCATTCAGGTTTTTATACTAGTTGGTATTTAATCCACTTCTTTATCCTTCCGTTCAAAGCTCAAGGTTTCCAGGATTTTCTTCTCTATCAGTTTCAATTGATTTTTCATTGCTTTGCTGTAGAGGGTCTGTGTGACTTGTCTGCTTTGTAGGCCATCTTGCTGGTACTTCCTTGTAGAATATTAACTATGATGTCAGTTTTTACTTTTAGAAATTGTTTTAGATATTTTTTTGTTTCTGTATTTTTGTTGATTTTTCTTTCCTTGATAGAATAGACATGGAAGTAAAACCTACTTTGTTCCGTTTACCTCATGAAGGTTTAAAAATGTCATGTTTGTGGTCCCTTGTATTTCAGGAAGCAAGAGCCTACTATGAGCAGACTGGAGTTGGTCCACTGCCTGTGGTTCTCTTCAATGGGATGCCATTGGAGAAGGAACAGCTGGATCCTGATGAGTTGGAAACCATCACAATGCACAAAATCTTGGAGAGTACAACCTTCTTCCAAAGAGCGGTGTACTTGGTGAGTAGCATTTTAGGAACAGTTTGCGTAACTGGGTGTGATCATTTTTGTAATCTCTGTAGTAGGCTATACAAGGATCTCTAGTGGTGCAGCAGTAGAGCATTCAGCTGCTAATCAAAAAGATGGGTGGTTTGAACCCACCAGCTACTCCACAGAAGAAAGGTGGGGCAGTCTGATTCTATAATCTACAGCCTTGGAAATCCAATGGGCCAGTTTTACTCTGTCATATAAAGCCACTGTGAATCAGAATCTATTTGATAGTAGTGGACTTGGTTTTGGTTAGTAGGCTATGTAGTCCTTAAGCATACACCTCTGGTGTTGGTTTGCAAACTCCTAGTAAGTCCAGCTATAATGAAAATATTTGTGAACCATCTTGTTTGATGCATTTGAAATAGCTAATTTTATTGGGTTCAGATTAAATATTTACTTTAAAAATTTCAATGAACTTGAAAGGGGAAAGAGATGCCAGGGGGAGGACAGAGCAGAGCAGCAGCCAGGCATCCAGGTAAGGGGAGGGAGGAACCTGGGCCTCACCCCCACAAGCCAGGAAAGTGGGGAAAGAGAAGCCAGAGGTGACAACATAACACAGCAGCACCAGGGATACAGGTAAGGGGAGGGTGGAGAGGTTTTGAACAGCTAAGCAAGACAAAACTTGTCTGTCAATTTGTTGTACTTTTATGGTTTGTGTGTTGCTGTGATGCTTGAGGCTGTGCCACCGGTGTTTCTAGTGCCAGCAGGGTTGCACATGGTGTATAGGTTTCAATACAGCTTGCAGAATGAGACAAACTAGGAAAAAGGAATTGGCCATCCACTTCTCAAAGAATTGGCCAGGGAAAACCTTATGAATAAATAGCAGAGAAACACTGTCTGATACATTACTGCGAAACTTTGTTAATAGTCTGGAAACATCTGGTACAGTGCAGGAGGATGAGCCACTTAGGTCAGAAGGCTTTCAAAATAAGACTAGGAAAGAACTGTATCATCAGAGTAGGCCCAACCTTACTGATGTAGATAGAGTAAAGCTTTCGAGATTTCCATTTGCTGACATGGCACAACTCAAATTGAGGAGAAACAGCTGCAAACATCCATTAATGATAAAAACATGGAATGTACAAAGTATGAATCTAGGAAAATTGGAAGTTGTCAAAAATGAGATGGAACATGTAAAGATTGATATCCTAGGCATTAGTGAGCTAAAATGGACCGGCTTTGGCCATTTTGAATTAGACAATCATATGATCTGCTACGCCAGGAATGACAATTTGAAGAGGAATGGTATGGCTTTCAACATCACAAAGGATGTTTCAAGGTCTGTCCTGAAGTATAATGCTGTCAGTGATAGGATAATAGGATAATATCCATACGCCTACAAGGAAGACCAGTTAATGTGACTCTTACTCAGATTTATGCACCAAACACCAAAGACAAAGATGAGGAAATTGAAGATTTTTATATCAGCTTCTGCAGTCGGAAATTGACCAAGTGTTCAATCAAGATGTGTTAATTATCACTGGTGACTGGAATCCAAAAGTTGGAAACAAAGAAGTATCACCAGTAGTTAGAAAATTTGCCGTTGGTGACAGAAATAATTCTGGGGATCATATGATAGAATTTTGCAAGACCAACAACTTACTCATTGCAAATAACTTTTTTCAAGAACACAAATGGCAGCTATACACATGGACTTTGCCAGATAGAGTACACAGGAATCAGACTGACTATATGTGTGGCAAGAGGTGATGGAAAAGCTTAATATCTTCAGCCAAATCAAGGCCAGGAGCTGATTGTGGAACAGAGCATAAATGCTCATACACAAGTTCAACTGGAAGATGAAGACAATTAAAACAAGTGCATGAGAGCCAAATATGAGCTTGAATATATCCCTCTTGAATTTAGGGACCAAATAAAGAATAGATTTGATGGATTGAACACCAGTGACCAAAAACCAGAAGAATTGTGGGATGACATCAAGAACATCATCCATGAAGAAAGCAAGAGGTCATTAAAAAGATGAGAAAGGAGTAAAAGACCAAAGTAGATGTCAGAAGAGAATCTGAAACTTGCTCTTGAATGGAGGGTAGCTACGGCAAAGGAAAGAAATGACAAGATAAAAGAGGTGAAGAGAAGATTTCAAAGAGCACCACGAGCAGACAAATCCAGTTACTATAACAAAATGTGCAAAGACCTGGAGTTAGAAAACCAAAAGGGAAGAACACACTCGGCATTTCTCAAGCTGAAAGAACTGAGGAAAAAATTTAAGCCTCGAATTGCAATAGTGAAAGATTCTGTGGGCAAAATATTGAGTGATGCAGATAACATCAAAAGAGGATGGAAGGAATATACTGAGTCACTGTACCAAAAAGAACTGGTAGATCTTCATTCCATTTTAGGAAGTGGCATATGATCAAGAACCAATGGTATTGATGGAAGAAGTCGAAGCTGCACTGTAGGAATTGGCGAAGACAAGGCTCCAGGAATTGACAGAATATCCGTTGAGATGTTTTGAGAAACAAATGCACCAGTGGAGGCACTCACTTGGTTATGCCAAAAGAGTTGGAAGACAGCTACCTGGCCAACTGACTGGAAGAGATCCATATTTGTACTCATTTCAAAGAAAGGTAATCCCACAGAATATGGAAATTATCAAGTAATATCATTAATATCCCACGCAAGTAAAATTTTATAATTCAAAAATTGTTGCAGCAGCATATGGATAGAGAACCTCCAGAAGTGCAGTCTGGATTCAGAAGAGGACTTGAAACAAGGGATATCATTGCTGATGTCAGATGGATCTTGGCTCAAAGCAAAGTATACCAGAAAGGTGTTTACTTGTGTTTCATTGACTATGCAAAAGCGTTTGATTGTATGGATCATAACAAATTGTGGATAACATTGAGAAAAATGAGAATTCCAGAACACTTAATTGTACTCATGATGAACCTGTACATAGACTAGGAAGCTGTCATTCAACCAAAAAGGAGCACTGCATGGTTTAAAATCAAGAAGGGAGTGCATCAGGGTTGTATCCTTTCACCATACTTACTAATCTGTATGCTGAGCAAATAATCTGGGAAGCTGGACTATATGAAGAAGAACGTGGCATCAAGATTGGAGGAAGAATCATTAACAACCTGCGATATGCTGATGACACAACTTTGCTTGCTGAAAGTGAGGATGACTTGAAACACTTACTGATGAAGATTGAAGACTACAATCTGGAGTATGGATTACATCTCAATAGATAGAAAACAAAAATTCTCACAACAAGTCCTAAAAGCTGCATGATGATAAATGGAGAAAAGATTGAGTTGTCAAAGAGCTCACATTGCTTTCTTCTACAATCGGCACCAGTGGAAGCAACAGTCAGGACATCAGGCGATGTATAGCACTGGACAGGTCGGCTGCTAAGGATCTCTTTCAAGTGCTGAGCAGCAAAGATGTCTCCTTGAAGAGTAAGGTGTGCCTGACACAAGCCGTGATATTTTCAGTGCCCTCATATACATGTGAGAGCTGCACAATGAATAAGGAAGATGGAAGAAGAACTGATGTTTTTGAGTTGTGGTCCTGGTGAAGAATGCTGAAAGTACCATGGACTGCTAAAGGAACTAACAAATCTGTTCTGGAGGAAGTGCAGCCTGAATGTTCCTTGGAAGCAAGAATGGCCAGACTTTCTCTGACTTACTTTGTTCATGTTGTCAGAAGGGACCATTCCCTGGAGAAGGATGTCATGCTTGATAAGATGGAGGGACGATGAAGGAGGGGAATGCCCTCAACGAGATGGATTGACACAGTGGCTGTGACTGTGGGGTAAATTACAGCAGGGATCACAGAGGTAGTACAGGACTGGACATATTTTGTTGTCACTGAGTCGGAGCTAAGTCAATGACACCTAACAAAAATAACAAGGAACTTAGCAGTTCTAACAGAGACTGGTTTCATGAATAATTTCTTTCAGAAGGATCAAGCCAAAGCTGGTTCCTATGAGGTGTCCATTTCTGGTTGTTGTTAGGTGCCATTGAGTCAGTTCTAACACATAGCAGTGCTGTGTACAACAGAAACACTACCCAGTTCTTCATCATCCTCACAGTCATTGGTATGCTTGATCCCATTGTTGCAGCCACTGTGTTTATCCATTTTGTTGAGGATGTTGCCATTTGTTGCTGATCCTCTCCTTTACCAAGCATGACATCCGTGTCCAAGGACTGGTCCCTTCTGATACCATAAGCAAAGTACAAAGTCTGTCTTTTCTTGATTCTAGGGAGCATTCCTTAGAATTCCTCAGGAGGAGGTTTAGAATGTTGTAAATGTCCAGCTTTTCCAAACTGAGGTACTATTCCATCATCTTTGAAATCAACTCCTTTTTCTGAGGTACTATCACTACGGAAGTAGGTTGCCCAACCTTCCTTCCGAGGAGTAGCTGGAGGGTTTGAACTGCCAGGCTTCTGGTTACCAGTCAAATGCCTTAGGCACTACACCCTCAGAGCTCCTTTTGTTTGGAGTTTTGTTCCTCTCCTTAGTTTCCTACCTCCAATCTTTGGATTCTGTAATTAGCTACAATGTCTCACAGAACTCATAAAGTATGAAGGAATTGCGCATGTGGTTGTGGAGGCTGGTAAGTCCCAAATCTGTGGGTCCAGGTGCCAGTCTGGAGGCTTCTCCTGACTCAAGTGGTTGCAGAGGCTGAAAAATCCAAATTGACAGGTAAGATGACAGGCCACCACTGGTTGGTAGGCTGCAGAAGTCAGTTAATCAGGTCAGACAATAGGCTGCTGGCTTGAGTTCTAATAAGTGGAGGTCAGATGGTGACAAACCAGATACAGAATCTAGACCAAGAGAAGATTTTCCAGAGCCTTCATATATATTGAAGGTAACCTTAAGTGAACCCTCCTTACATGAACAAGGTGGTAAAAGGGTCTGTAGGGTAGTGACTGTGGTAAGGGTGGTGACTTGAGTCATATCCTCTAGTAATGCAGTCATTCAAGATGCATCCCACCTTAATC